ATTTATTCACGTGGGTCACATAAATATTCATATATTAATAACAATAATAATAATAATAATAATAATTATTATTATTATTATTATTATTATTATTAGTGCATTATTATGTCGGCCCCGTAGCACAGATGGTTGCGGTAGCAGTCATCTGCGTCGGGGAGTCTGCAGGTTCGACGCCTGCGTGGACATGGTCTCATCAACCCTCATCATCATCGCATTATCTCATAATTCACACTTCAAAGCAGAACATATTTGTCGTACTGAAGAATACAGCTGAAAAGCTCATTGTGAAAAAAATACACACGTTACTCGTGTAGCGTGATCAGTAATGGTCTTTACGCCAATAAAAATAATATTAATAATAATATTTATCTTAAAATTTGTCAGTATACCATACTAAACAGATGGTGTATGGACCTCTCCCATGAAGTTCTGCTCCGCTAATCTTTAACAGCGGCGGGGGTGGGGGGAAGGTCGATGACCCCAAGTGCTGATGAAGCAACCGGAAGGGAGGAATCCGTCTTCCGCTCTGTGTTTGAGAATTCAGACTTCACAGAGACCGCATGGGAATTTTTTTATTGGAAATTTTCAATTTAAAAAAATACTTGAAAACAAATTTTACGCTCTAAAATTATTTTAACATTACTTGATTAAGGGACCACCTCGCCGGCCTGGGTGGCCGCGGTAGCTAAGGCTGAAGAGACGTAGCTGCCTCGTGCTAGAAGGGTCACGGAATCTAATCCCGGCCCCAGGTTTTGACGTATATGCGTGTTTGGACTATAAAATAAAAAAAATAATAAAGGGACCATCTTCGATTCCTTGTATTCTTGATATTTTGAATTATTTTCAACATCAACCTTAACAGCTCTTACCACCGCCTAGTCCGTTATCCTCTCATTTGTACTCCAAAGACTCGCTGTCAGTACTCGTTAGGCAAATAACCAATGTCAAACAGCGGCTTGATCACTGTCAACATGGGAGGGAGGGGGGTTGCGGCCCTTATCTCACGAGCCCAAGTGAGTGGAGTCAGGCCCCGCGCTCGGGGCTTCTCGCCATTCGGGGGTAGGGCAGAACGGGGTAGAGGGGCGGGGCGGGGCGAAGCGGGGGTGGGCGATAAAAAGAGCGGTTTATCGGCGCTGTCGCAAAGACGCCAAAAAGCAAATTCCGCGCCCGCGTTGCTCGCCGCCACTTGCCACTTTTTCCCTGAAGGGCCGGCCGCGGGGCCCCCGGGCGCCGGGCGGCCCAAGGCCTACCAAAGGCGGGCTGTTTCCAGGAGTATGGCCCCACAACTTATCCCACACAGAAGGGCAAAAAAGTGGGGCGCGTTTCACAGGAGGGGCGAAAAAACCCAACCCCCCCCCCTAACAAAAGGCCTAGACTTACCTACCTTTATTTGGCCAAATTGACTTAAATATTTATTTATATTACAATTATGTAATTATTTTAAAAAATATTGTATGGTATCATATATACTTACTACAAAAATTATTCACAATATTATAACAAATGTTTTTTATTTAGCAAAAATCTACGACGGCCCCCCTCGAAAACGATCGGCTCGATCTACCCCTGTGCGCTCCCGTTTCGCCACTTTGTCGTCAATTCGTCTTTTCGTAACTCGTCAGTTGACTCTCTACTTTGAGATTACTATCGCGTCCACTGCTATGGGGCTAAAGGGGAAAAGAGAGGGTGAGGATGAAGAAGAAGGTCGAGCGCAGTCCACATCCCGCTGGTTGAAGTACTTCTAAAGCTATCGCCAAGCTGTTTGCACTGTTTGCTTGTGACAATCTTCGATCCCTTTCCCTAAAGCCTGAGCAAATTTAAAAATAAATTAAGTTTCCTGAATGTTGATAAGTGTGTAATAAATATATTTAATATTATTCAGTAACTATGCATTCTATGTAATTAAGTATTATTATTATTATTATTATTATTATTATTATTATTATTATTATTATT